CTGGAGACCCGTAAATAGTATAAAGATTCGTTAAGAAACAATCTTTATTTAGAGATTTTAAGGATCGAATCTTTAATTTTTTGTACGGTCTACTGTTTATTTAATTATTTTTCTTTAAATACTCTTCTATAAAGATTTCCTATAAGGACTCCCATTGGAAATGCTCTAATTAACAACTTCTGTTGTCTTTTTTAGAAAACAACCACTGCCATTATCTATGTGGACTGAGGAGGGTTCCTTTTGATTTTAGTCACCTTTTCAAGAAACACCATTAAATGAAAAACATAATGATGAGCTGGGTTAATTACGGACTTTAACTTTGTTAGAGATTTGTGGCGAGATTGGCTCGAAATCTACACTCAATTACTTCAACAAGAAAATAAAAATGAGATTAGGACATAAAGATATAGAGGCAGGCCACATGGGAACCACTTATTCCTATGACGTTCCCTTTTTGTTCCACCAGCTTTCTCTTCATCAACTAACCACCTTTGACCCTTTTTAACTAACAATCCCGATCAAATTACTAGTTTGAGAAAACAAATGATGTTTTAGGCGTGTTTTTGATTAATAGAGCGGTTGTCTAAAACATCATTTGTATGGGAACATTCATAGTTTAGTTTGCAAGGTCAAATGAAAAATGTCAAAAGGATAAATAACCACCTATAATCTTATCCAATTAATGTTCGACTGCCGTGAATTGTGGCAGCATACATGATTATTGTTTAAAGGCGTGATCTGCCATGCAATGATTTTGAATTTGAAGTAATTTTCAAGGACTTCTATTTTCATGGATATGTTTTTGACTGTCTACAATACTACGTAGACAATTATTTGAAACCCAGTTGTCAATGTTATTGATATTATTATGTATGAGCATTTCCAAGAAGGAACCTCATTTTAAGAGTAAATTTTTTAAAATGAAGATTTAATGACGTCTTTCTCCAAAAATAAATCTCAAATCTATTTTAAAAGTTTTATACTATTTACATTTTAGTCCCTAATTTTAATATAAACTAATGGTAATCACTAAAATTTATATAGATAGAAAAATACTACGCTTTTAAAAAAATAAACATAATATTTATAAATACAATTTATATTAAAACAAAATACATAACATAATAATAGAAACACACATATTAATTCATAAAAAAATAAAAATAAAAATTGCTCACTATTGTTATTTTCATAATGTTCTCATATATGATCAATCAACCCAAAGTGTTCTATTTAAGTACTATTCTTTTATATTAACTTTTATTTTATTTTAACATATTTATATAATTTATGTATTAATTATATATATAAGATGTATTTGAATATTTCAGACAAATGTATTTATAAAATATAGTTATAAGAAGTAAAGTGACAAGAAAATTAATATAAATACAATTATATGTAAGATATAAAAATATAAAGACTAAACTGAAAAGTAAATAGTGTTTTGAGGGCATGAACAGTAAACCTTTAAAATTGAAGTTTCACTATTCACGTCCTCAAAATTTGAAGCTTTGGAAGTCTTTTAAAGAGTCAAAAACCTCAAAATTTAAAGGTTTGAAAATCTCTTGAAGATCCTCTAAATCTGCAGGATTTATGATATTGACAAAAAGTTCATCCAAAAAACAAATTCTATATATGGCTGAATACAAATATTTTCTTTTGTTATAGCAAGAAAAATATTGTCAATGGTATAAATATTAGACTAAACTGATTTTACAACCTTTTCGTTTTTGGTTCTCGTCAAACAAGATCTTATGATTTTAAAAAATTACGTTACAAAAAACAATAACACATATGGTTTACATTGTTTAGATGACAATATAAGGCCGAAATTCTGCCATGGCATTCGTTCACTGAAACATCTACTAGTCTACACTAATAGCAATTCCTTACACAAAAAAAACTTAAACTTGTACTTAGACTAAACTAAGCTGATGTATTTACTGAAGATGGCCAGAAAACGATGTTTCCATCCCTTCCATCTTAATTCGGCAAGGAAATCGATTCTTGTATAAGACCAAAAAAAAAGAGGCCTAGAATCCACACTACTTGATACAAGTAATATTTATAGTTTGATGATGGACATCCGTGAATGTTTATGGCTTCAGCTTTCATTGAAGTTAGGCATGTTCACATGTTGTAGACTTGCAGTGAAGAGATGCCTTTAATAGTCTTCTTTTTTCCACTTTTGAGTGATGTACCTTAGGTAATATTCTCTTTAGGCTATAAACCAGTGCACTGTAAATTAGTTCTTAACTCATGTCCGTATCAATGTGGCTGACCTATGCTAGCAGATAGGACAAGTTGCCCTAGTGAATTTTATATATTTATTTTGTAACACCAACATTATTGCTATATTAGGTAAGACAAAATTTATACTTCTGACAAAGTTTAGCAATATAAGTTGTTGCACTTTGTTTATGGAGCTGGTAATGTTGTAATGAATCGAACCTTTGAGATTTCATAATATATTCTAAAGCTATACCGGTGAGCTCTAACCTGGCTAGTAGAGGGGTCCCAGAGTTTAACTATAAGAGATGTGATGTTTATGAAGATGATCTACATGTATTCTTGCACTGTAGTGTTGCAGAACAAGTATGGAGTATGGCCCCTTATGCTTCCAAACCGGGAGCAGCGATCCCCTCTATGGCGGTTTTGATCTCTTGGGCTTCCTCCCTTGTCGTGCTACCACCAGTGGGCCTCATTGTTCCGTTGTGGCCGTGGCTTCTATGGTATCTGTCGAAGGCTAGGAATAAACTCTGCTTTGAAAATAAAGCTTTTAGTAGTACGGAGATCTTGACTAAGTCCGTTGCGGACGCAAAAGAATGGCAAGCGGCGCAGAAGATAGCCCCTGGTAGTGATATCCCTGCCTCCACTTCTAGTGATCCCCGCCGCGTACAGTAGACACCTCGAGCTGGCCCTCACACTGTCCTCTGCAATGTGGATGCTGGGTGGGATAGCCGCATTGGGAACTGCGGTATCGGCGGCGTTTTCTCAGGATGGTCTCCACGACCACATCTTGATCCCATCTGCGAGTCTCGCAGGTATGGCTCATCGGCGTTAATGGCTGAAGCCCTCGCCATCCGTTTGGCAGTCTTGTATGCTTCCTCTTCGAATGTTAAATCCCTGATGGTTTTGTCTGATTCCTCGTCTTTGGTGAAGTTGGTGAAAGGAAAAGGATCAGCTCCAGCATTATTTGGCATTTTATTCGATATCTATCAGTTTAGTTCTTCATTTGATGTAGTTTCCTTTGCTTTTGTACCACGTTTGAGTAATGTTCATTTGATGTAGTTTCCTTTGCTTTTGTACCACGTTTGAGTAATGTTACGGCTGATTCGGTGGCAAAGTCGGCTCTAGCATTGCTTAACTCGTCCTCCGTTAATGGAGTGTAGAACGTTTATTATGAATGAAATGAGTACTTGATCAAAAAAAAGAAAAATTCTAATAGACAACAAAAAAAATGAAGTTGTGACCGTGTAAAAATATTCGTTTAGAACTAAATGTGGTTGAATTGTTCGGCATGGAATGATAATCCTTACAAAAAGAAGTTATTACCTTACATTGCAAGTGGTTGAATTGTTTGGCACTTTATGTTATTCAAATATTTTGTAACATCTTGGTTTATGATCTATGGTAGTGTGTTTAAAAGGCTTAAAATTTTGTTATCTATATTATCAAAGTGTATTTATCTTTCCAGTCACATGTCAAAATTTTTTTTTTGAGTTAAACATGTTTAAATTGCAGTAATGAAAAGATTCGTAATCTTTCTGAAAGTGATTAACGATATAGAGCGACTGATGCTAAAACATGAAAAAATTATTTGGTAATTATAAGATCAGTAAATAAGTGTTTAAAGTCTCCAAAAAATTATTGCATAACCAACATGACGAGTGAGCAGGCGTAAAAGTCTCACTACTATGTATAATGTTCATGAGGTGCCAAAGACGGTGTGTTTGGTGAAAGGAGTAACTGTAACATCTCGGTTATTAATATATAGTCATGTATATTGAAAGTTTTAAAAGAATTGATTTAAAGGTCTATATAACTAAAATACTTTATTTTTTCGGTCGTACATCCAAAAATAACAATGAGAGTTCATGATTAAATTGGAGTGAAATGATATATGTCCAAACAAAATTTATTCGAGATGTCATATGAGTGATGTTAAAACATAGAGAATAAGTGTGTAGTGATTAAATAAACTTTTTAGACTTCTAAAAAATTTGTTAACAAATTGGCCGAACAGATTCACGAGCTGAATGAACAATTAGTTTAGGAAACCGTTAACCGTAGACGGTCTTAGCGTTATATATTTGTGGAAAAGCAGTAACTTTTGAAGTAAACTTAAATTTTGTTCGTTTTTGCTATTGTAACGAGAAGTGAGTAAAAGTTGTATTTATTTTGTTGTCGTTGGTTAAACTGTATATGTCGACATATATCCAGTAGTTATGTTTGTTTCTGCGCTGATTCAACAATATTTTTTGCAAACAAAAAATTTTACACACTGTAATCTATAATGGTGAACGTTTATTCTCTAGTCGCTAAAAAAGGAATGTCATTTTCTTTAATGTTAGTGTTGTTTACAACAAACAAAACGATCAATAAGATTTACATCCTATGACACTTTTAGTTAGTGTAATATTCTCTAAAAGAGTATACTATCAATAAGATTTACATCGAGTATATATCTCGTACTTTTCTTAATGTATTGTATATATCTCGTCGTTGTCGTTCTCCGCTATAGTTTAACAACACTACAATCATTAGCGATAGTTGTTGTGACCCGTCATCACTTATATGGGCTTTTGGCCCAGTCTATTCTCATTCACAAGAGGTTTTGGGCTCAGAAGCAGTCTAAAAAGCTCTCAGCGAGCAAATTCATTTCAACCTTTTGTTTCTTTGTCTTTTGCAAGAACTGCGAGTCGTAATAATTCATCGCTTACAAGATAAGAACAAAAAAAAAAGAGATATTTAGAAACAGACAATCACTGATAAACATGAGGACGGAAGAGAAAGAAGAAGAAGAAGAACAATGGCCAGGATCAGCTCACGAGATTTTATTGCTTGTTCTTCCTTATCTCCACTCTCTCTTCGAGCTTCTCTCTATGACAGCTGTCTCGCGATCCTTAAGAGACGCGATTCGCGCTGAAACAGCTTTATGGTCAAAGGTCGTTGTTGAACCACCGCTAAGCTCTCGTCTAACCGATGATATTCTATGGGACATCACTTCCAAATCCGCCGGGAAATTGAACACTCTGATTCTCCGACAATGTCTTAGGATCACCGACAAGGGGCTTCGACGTGTGGTGGACGCAAATCCTCTCATCAGAAAGGTAATTCGATTGAAACCATTAGTTTCCGACAAATGGAGTTGTAGTTTTGCTGTTTTGTCTGAAGAAATGATATGTTGTCTGAATGAACTTCGTTTTTAAAGATAATTGTGCCAGGATGCACGGAACTGACTCCAGAAGGGATCATTGGATGTGTTGAAAGCTTGTCAAAGGACAATCATAACGTGGAGACACTTCACATCAACGGCGTCCACCGCTTCACGAAAGACCATCTCTCAGCACTTTCGACTTACATTCCTCACGAGGGAGCTATAGATGTCGAGGTCTGTCCCAAATGCGACCAAGTCATGATGATTCCCTCTTGCTCAAGAGTGTCATGTGTAAGTTAACTGAAGTTTTTTTTATAAGATAGAGATGATTAGAGTGTTTTAAGCAATGTTAAAAAATGCTGGGTGGTAACTAGGAGCTTAATACGACTTAAACATTAACGAATTATCGATTTATTTTATATATATTTTATATATTTTTATAAGTGATTTTAGTTTTTGGATTTAATATAAAAGTATTTTTTTGAATCATGAAAAACAGATATACAAAACAAAAGAAACTTAACAAATTTTTGGATTTGTACTAATATAATTTTTTAATTAATTTAATTTAGGCTAATTTATATCAATTTAAACTGACTTTAATTAATTTTATCCAATTTAAAACAATTTGAATCAATAAATTGGATTTTGGACTATTGGTTTTAAGAGTATTACTAGTTTACTACTACTAACAATAACATGTGTGTTTCTTGGTTTGAAGAACCGTGGGAGAAGGCACGAACGAAAGTGCAAGGGATGTTGGTTCTGCGTCCCTAGATGCATGGAGTGTTCAGTGTGCCTCGGATCAGACACTGAGATTCAAGAAGCAGCGTGTGGTGGCGACAGTCTGTGTCTTGAATGCTGGCTTGTGCTTCCAAAGTGCAGGTTCTGCAATAAACCCTATTGCACAAGTCACAGTAGTCTGCGACATGATGTTGTAACCAATGATTCTTCGGCTCAGCCTATGTTTGAATGTCAAGCTTGTCACTACAGGGCAGGTAAAAACCCATATGACGCCTTCGACTATCAAATCTAAGAAACTTGTTTTATAGTCACGTTTGTTACTATATATAGTCTTTGTTCATGTTTTATATGAAAACCTTGGATTGTGAAATAAAGAATCAAGCTTTCGACAGAGATAAGTTACAATCATTGATGATCCTACATGCTACCCTTTTAATAAGCTCCTCTTAAAGGAGATGATGGACAAAACCGGGTAGACAAAACTAGACAAGGAGAGAAGAGAACCAATGAGCTCTTTTGTCTCGAGCATTGCAAGAAAGAAGTTAAAATTAAGAAACAAGAGCTAGGAGTTGTTCTTCTTCTCCGAGTTTCTACAAGAATACTAAGGCAATGAGCAGTAAAAAGGAGAAGAATGTTAAGTTATCAAAAGATGCTTGAGGGTGTTGGAAGCAGCCAGAGGTTGTTGAGTTCGCTGAAGGAGCCAACGCCGTTGTGTTGTGTCCAAGTGTCTGATTGCTTTTAGCACTGCAAAACATAGCCAATATTAATGTTTGATTCTTTCAAATAATAAAAAACAGTTTGAATGTAAGAAGCAAGTTACCTTCCAGGGAACACACACGTTCCTCGACCTGCATAGAGAATCAAACACATGTTTCAGAAACAGAGCAAAAGTGTTAAATCACTTATGCAAAGAGGTTTCACTTACTTGGATCAGTAGATGTAACAGTAGCAACCCCTTTAAAGTCACAGCTCCCTGAAGCTTTCATCATCTTCTGGTAATAAGCATTAAAGGCATAACTAGAATGCGCAACCACATCATCAGGCTCATAACACGCTTCACCCTGCATCAACGCCGAACAATCAACCTTCCCTGGACCACAAGCCCAATCAAGAGCCGCCTGAAGCATCTTCTTATCAACCTTCTCCTTAGCTACACAAAACGTCTGGTTCGTAGTATCATTCGCCAAAACCGCCCCCGCGCCAGCCAAACGCAACGTGTAAACCGGAGTCCCGTTCGTATGGAACAACCCCCAGTTCTTCTCAGACAGAGGTCCAGGCCTGGTGTCCTCATTGTAAAGCTCGTAGATGTACGTAGCGACCGGGACACCGGGGTGTTTCGGTGTCCCGGTCTTGTTGATAACATGCTGTATCAAGTTACTATTGTAAGTGTTTGCATTCTCCACCGTGGCATCGTGCTCCGGACCGTCTCCTTTCGAAGGCCAGCCAGATTCTGTAACCACTATAGGAATGTTGGTGAAGTTGAGATAAGACATTGCGAAGTAAGCAGCGTCTACTATGGCATCAAAGACGTTTGTGTAATGTAGCAACGTGTTGGCGTCTACAGCTTCTTTATTAGCCTGGAGAGGCTGAAACAACGCGTAGTCTAACGGTATAACACCGTTAGACTGAACGTAGTCGAAGTAAGGATAGACATTGAGCATTAACGGTGAGCCAGTTGACTGGAGAAACTCGAGGAGAGGGACGATGACTGGATCCCAAGTCTTGTTGAAGAAGGCTTGAGAAGGAGGGAAAGAATCAAGAATAATGGTTGAAGCGTGTGGAGTTGAGACTTTGATCTGACGGTCGAGATTGGCTGTGACTAGAGCGGCTTGGATGTACTTAAGGGCGGATACTAGGACGGGAGCTGCGTTTGGTAAGGAGGTTAGGACTTCTGATCCGACAGCTATTGTTGTGATGTTGGTCGCGGGGTAATAAGCGGCTACGTTTCGGGTGACCCAGTTAGCTGCGGTTGCGTTTGACTGGCTGATACCGAGAAGCTGGTCGTTAGGGACTGAGATTATGAGTTGGATGCCTGTGTGAGCAAACGCTAGGAGCATTGCGCGGTCTGCGTCGTAGAGACGGACGCGGTTGATGTTTTGTGATTTGAGGAGGGTTACTACTTGTGTTGGACTTGGCATGTCTGTGACTTCTGTTCCGATATTCACACCGATTAATGAATCTGAAAGATATATTAATACAATGAGAATCTTTTAGCATATAGTATTTAACGAAAAACATGTTTCAGTACAATTAGCATGAAAATCAGTCAATTGGTCGGTCCATTTCTCTATAAAAACGTTTAGAAAATCAAATGGTTAATGCAAAAAGTCATAAAAGTTTCTAAGTATGTGCAAACACCAAAGGCTCTGGTGAGCAGAAGTCGAAAATGCCCTTGAAGTAAGGTTTATTGACTCAACTAGCTATGAGGGCAGTTTGGTCTAGTTACAATTTCTGAGAAGAGAGTACTGGAAGCATATGAGCTGGGATGCAATATCTTGAGATTCTCATTCTCATTAAAGAGATGGAAGCTTGTCAAAGTTAAAGTACTAAAAGTAAAAAACTATAAACTATAGATGAAATGAAGAATACACAGAATCTAGAATCCAACATATAAAAGAAATTCCCTGAAAAAATTCGATTTTTCTATGTATTATTAACCAAGATTTGCACATGAAGTAAGCACAAGAACACATTTGCTAATTAGTAAAAATCATAATAAAAAGGCAGTGTGTAGCAGAGAGATGAAGGATCTCTACTCCAGCGAAAGAACACACAAAGAAGCAGACAAAACACAAAGATTCCAGATTTTTTTTTTTACTAAACAAATAGGTTTTAGTTGATTTGAAGATTACCTTGACAGAGAGCAGAGCTTGCAAAGAGGAAAAGGAAAAGGAGAAGAAGGGCAGCCATGGATGGAGCTTACAAATCTTGGAGATGCTTTTGATTTGCTTCTGAAGCATAAAGACAAGACAAGTCTCGAGGTTCTCTCAAGTAGTAGTAGCCCACGAGAACAAAATCCAACCAAGACAAACAAATATATATAAAAAATAGATATGAGAAAAAATTAAGAGTTAAAGAGAGAGAGTGAGAAAGAACAAGTTCGCTTCAAAAGATTTATATATAACTGAAGCCTAAAGGCTAAAGGTGGGTTTCTGAAAAAGATGTATCGTACCCCAAAATAATTAATTATTTTTGGTGGAGAAAAATGCTTTTGTTAATTTATTTCGTCGAAAATATAATTTGTAAATGATCTTTTGAACAAATGTTGTTGTAAGGTCGACAAAAAAATAGAATAAGTGTTCTAGGATTCCTTTTTTCCTTATGATAAATAAATAAATTGGTGTTGTGTTTTATTGGCAGTGTTTTAATTATTCATGGCTTCTGCTGCTGTGACAGTGAATCACATTTGATTACGTTCAACGGTCATCTATGCAATGTTTTTTTTTTTCCAAATAATTGGTTCTTTTAATTTTTCTACTCTACTAGTAGTTATAATGTTTCTGTTTTTTTCATACAAATAATTTGCCTTCTTTTTAATATATGAGAGATTCCTTAATCTTTTACAAGCTGGATTTTTTTTTGTTACTTTGTGAATCTTTTGCTCCTTGTCTATTTTCTTTTTTTGTTATTTTCTTCTTGCCATTTCGATTCTTTATAAGGTTCGTATTTCTAGACTTCAACTTGAATACATCACCAAGAACTTTACTAAATCAAACAGCCTCCAGCCGAAAGCTGATGCATCAGTCCATTACAAATTTGAAACCAACTTAAGTGGTCAAAATAAGTTTTAACTTAATAGTACACAATATTGAACTAAGCCCAAAATATGATTTGTCATGTAGTTCAAACGTCGTTCTCTGTTAAGGGAGCTTAGGGAGGTTACTGGTTTGCAAAAGGTAGAAAACTAATGTTGTAATATCTCTGAATATCGTTGAAAACTAGGATTAGCAAAGATGTCTTTTTTATTGATTAGCCATGCGCGAAAACATAAACAGTATCATCATATATGAATTGTGTGATTTCCTTTTGGGCTAATAATGGGCTTCAACATATACAAGTCTGGGCAGGCCCAATATTCCTGTTACTATAACTTCAATATCCGGGTCGGGTCATAAGATCCGAACTTACATGTATTCAAAATTCTCTCTCTCTCTCTCTCTGTTTATCTAAAACCCTAAAAACCTATTCGAACAGCCTTCGCCATCAACACGAGCTCGAAGTCTCTGAAGAGTCAAGACACTCGGCAGATCTTTCACGATGGGCAAACCGAGCAAAGGGTTTGGCTTTTCTTCTCTTTTTTCAAACGATGATTCATCTCTGCCCAGTTTGTTCTTTGAATTGATTCACTGACGCCAAGTTTCTGACTGTTCAGATCGGAAACAGGTTCTAAATCTGATAAGAAGTTCGAGAAGAAGCTTCAGTTTTACACAAGTAAGCCTTAATTGTATCGAACTTGTGTGTGTGTTTATGACTTTTGTAAGATAAGAATATGTAAAGACTTTGTTTTTTTTTAATGCAGAGGTTAAAGATACACTTACGTCCTTGTCTGTTCAAAAGGAGATTGGTAAGGTAAAGACCACCTCAAACAAAACCCTTTCTTTAAGAATGTTCCTATACTACAACCTGTGTCTGAATATTTAGTATTTGGTGTTGTTACACAATCTGGGCCTGAATGTATAACTACTGCAATCTGTGTCCTAATGTTTACTTCTCTGTGTTGTTTCACAAAATGAGTCTGAATGTTTAGATTCTTAAGAATGTTGCTAGATTGCCCCCTCTGTCTGAATGTCTAGATCCTTAAGAGTGTTGCTATATTGCAATCTGAGTGTGAAGTGTGAACTTTTGTTTGTTCCATATGATATGCTAATAAGGGAACTTGTATCATTACGATTTGAACAGAAGAAGAGAACTCGGAGCCGTCAAAAGAAACTAAAGGCGTATGATCTCTCCACACTCTCAGAGTTTCTTCCTGAGGCTAATGCTTTTCAGAAATCAGCTCAGCCTGCACCTGACTTGAAGATGAACTGCAAAAGGCGACAAAAGCTTGTGTATGTCTCTATTTTCCAACTATCGTTAAACTTCTTTGTTGTGGGTTGTGTCTGAAAGGGTTGTGTATATATTGTGTGTAGAGTGTCGGAAGGGGAAAGGTTTAACAAGGTTCTAGACCATCCAGCTTTTCAAGCCGATCCGATTGGTTCGATATTTCAGCACCTGCAGAGTGAACAGCCACCTGTGGAAGAGAAACCGAAGAAGAATAATAACGTAAACGGAAGCAAGAAAAGAAAAAATAGGAAGAAGGGAAAAGCTGAATCAATGGATTTCTGATTTTGTTTTGAGTTATAGACATAAAGTTACCAAGTGTCTTGTATTGTTCTAGTACAAGAGCAAGTTCGTGCGTGTTAATGTGCACAACTTTTCCCATAAACACATGAAACTCTATCACACCATTAAAAAGTTCTAAATCTTTTAGGAACTCAAATGATCATGAGAGTGGTTAACTGATCTCAAGGAGTTTGTTGAAGAGACCAGTGAACACGAGAAAGTCTGTTTCAATTAGTCTATAAGCTTGATGAGCGCTGAGGTAACAAGCTCTTCATCCTCTATGGTTCTTGGCTTCGGTCTAGGGGCTGGAGTGCGTGGTATCACACGCCGGATGATCAAAAATTGGCAGGGACATATTTACAAATCGGTGGTGGCTGGAGTCGGTGGTGGCTGGAGACGACGGTTCACGGTTATGACTGATGACTAGCGACTATGCCAGCAGAGGGAGGCAACTGATTATAAATCTACAAAAAAAAAAAAATCAGAAAATCCAAATTTTACTAACGAGCTTTAGCCCAAATAAAACTGGGTACGGTATGACAAAGCCCAAAGTTTTATTCAGAACTCATCCATTGATGTCAAATAAGATAAGAAATGATGATATTTCCAAAATTAAACTGATTGATTCAGCTGGTGAAAAAAAAAAAAAAAAAAAAAAAAAAACTGATTGATTCAGCACAAATATGTAAACCGTTAACTCATCTTAATTTACTGGTTTCGTATCAGAATTTGATAGTACCTTAACAGGCAGAATAACAGATAAATATTGTACACGGTTACATGACAATTAGAAACTATGTAATGTACTTATCTAGTACTACAACAATAGCAAAAAAAAAAAAAACTGTTGTTCCCCTAATTTTTATCTTTTTTGTTTGTTAAAGATCTAATTTTTATCTTGTAAACAAAAATTTCAAATGAGTTCATGAAAACTTAGGAGATCAAAATCAGAGAAAATTTTAATTGATTTAAGATATAAACTTTTAATTTATAGGATTAAGTTTTTTATATACTTAGGAGTATTTTGAATTGTATTTGATCTATAGAAAAATTCAGACTAATCTCCAAGTGAGGTATAGTCCATGAATATACTATTTCTTTAGATATTCAAATGGACGGAGAAGATCTATATCTATGTGGATGTATAAAATAATATGATTTAGTTTTGTATATGGATCGAATCTTAAACGTGTTAGCGTCTCAAATCCATTTATTCTATTATGATTTGTATTGTGAAACAACTAATAAGAAAATACTAGCTTTTGACCCGCGCGCCCTCGTGGGTATTATTCTTAATAATCATATATTTTTAATTTTTGAACATGCGATACATTAATTTGTTTATAGTTGTTATGTTTATAGATTCAAGTGTTATTCAGGTTTGATATTAGTGTGTCTTGTTCAATGTGATTAACTTTCTTTATAAACAATGAAATTATTCAATTTTTTTTTTTAACGTTGAAGATAAAGTTAGAAATTTTTATTGAGATTTTTAAAAACAAACAAAAAATAATGAAACGAAATTACAAAAAAAAAAGAACTTAAAAAGAGATTTAAAGTCATAAAAAGAACAGGTTCTTAAAAATTTTATTTAGCAAACCTAATTTAAGTTATTGAATTGGGCCATTTTATAATGAAAAAAAATCGGTGCATCATAATTTACAATTACATAGTGGATATAAAATATAATGGACCTTTTCCAATGATTCAAGCCCGTGTGTTTTTTTTTAAAGCCCGTGTGTTGTTTTTCCAGGAAAATAAACGGGAACTCTTTTCCCATCTACCGACTTTTCTCATCCATCGAAAGTCCGTCACTATTTTTATGTCTTTCTCTACTGCCGACAAATGCCTTGCACCTGATTTCTAAACAATCGATTGAAATAAGTTAATGTCTTCTCTCTAAGAACTGAAGAAGATAGATCTATTGTTAACTTTCCGCTTTTGGCATAAAGGTTGAAGTTTCTTGATTGAGGTTTACTTGAGATTTTACGATTAGGTTCTAATGATCTACATTCTTTGTTTTGATTTTTTAGAGACCAGATGAAGTATAGAATACCAGGAGCCTTCAATCGCATTGACAGAGCCTGGCTCTAGTTTAAAAACAGGGAAAAACTTCTTGCATGCCTTTTGATCAGTAAAGGTGTGGTAAAAACTTTCTTTTGGTTTCTTTAGCAGAATGATTTTAACTCACTTTTCTTTAGCTCAGTAATAGGATGGAATGAGTAACAAATTGGATTGATTGTAGAGGCTCTTACTAAATGAGAAGCTAATGTTAATAAGAGAAGTCGGATTGACTTGATTGTCTCAGCTCTGTTTAGAACAATTTGTGAGTATGAAAGAGCACTTGATTTATACTTGTCTAAGTGACGCATAGCTGATTTTTTTCTTCTTCATGGTCTTGTATAAAATAGCATCTGTCAATCGTTTGATAGCTGGTATTATGTCATTTTTAATGTGACTCATGTTTGAGTTGGACGTTCTGAGAACCAAATTCCAGTAATCTAGATACAATGGAAGACAACAACCTCGACGAACAATAGACTGAGAATACAATTAGTAATTAGTATCTATCATTAGTAATTTTTAGG